ACTTAATGAAAAAAAAAAGGGTGTCCTTAGCTCCCCTCTCTCCAGGACTCCTTTGTCCCCAATTTTGTTGCCCCACTCATTTCCTAGAGGCTGCCTAGGGTGGTCAGTAGTCACCCTGCGGGGCTGACATTGTGAGGTTACTTGCTAGGTGTATGTGCCTCTGTATCCCCTTCCTAGCAAGGCCCAGACTCACCCTTCCCAGCTTCCCTTATGGTTCAGTCCTGGTTTAAGTTTCTCCTGTCAGGCTCAGACATTTTGCCAGTGCTGTGATGGCAGGGGTGGCAATTCCAGAGCCATGATTTTGTAAACACCTAAATTCCCTTGAAGTTACATTTGGATTTGAATTCTGAATAGGACACTTTGTTTACGTATTAGCTTGCTTGTTATTATCTGTTGTTTTGTTTTGTTTTTTGGAGACAGGGTCTTGCTATGTAGTTTAGGCTGGCCTTGAACTCACTATGTAGCCCAGGCTGGCCTCAAAGTCAGTGATCTTCCTACCTCAGCCTCCCGAATGCTGGGATTATGGCCATGCGCCACCACACCTAGCACACTTGTTATTACCTGTGTCTCCCCACTTTGTTTAAGCTCCTTGATACCAGGCACTTGCTCATATTTATTCACTGTGTCCACAGAGCCCAGGGCAGTGTCCAGTCCATAGGACATGCTCAGTAATGACCTGTCAGCTGCTGGCTGGGTGGAGACAGGAAATCTTACAGCATGAGAGGGTGGACAGTAAATCTCATTTTCCCAGCCTATAAAGTTTGGAATGCCCCAGACTCACCCACCTCACTCCCTGGTGAGCTCAACCAGTCTCATGTGTTTGAATTTATATCTCCAAGCTGGGTGTGGTGGCGCACACCTGTCATCCCAGCACTCTGGCAGCCTGAGGCTGCAGGATTGCAAGTTCAAGCCCAGCCTGGGCAATTTAGCAACTTACCAAGACCCTGTGGGAGAATAAAAAAGAAAAAAAAAATGTCTGGGGATGTAGCACAATACAGAGGCCCCGGGCTCAATTCCCAGTAACACAGACAAGAAAGAATATCTCCAGGCATGACTTCTGCCTTGAACTTCGGCTCTTAGGTCCAACCACTACCCACACTCTGCTCAGATGTCAGCAGGCAGCACAAGTGTAACAGGTCCAAAACAGCTCTTAGCTTCTCCTCCAAGCAATCTCCTCCCACGGCTTCCTTGTCTAAGCCAACGACAACTCTGTTCTTCTAATTGCCTGGGCCACAAACTGGGGGATCACCCTTGGTGACTTTATCTCTCACATTTTCCACTGCATTCTTCAGCAACCCTCTGGGCTCTACATAATGTATTAAAACCCATCATTTTTCTCCACCTTCACCTCCCTAAGCTCTTAGTCATCTTGCATCAAGATGACTGCAATGCCTTCTGTGACAGATGCTTCTGGAATCTATGTCATATGCCCCTTCTGGTTCCAGCCCCAGCTGCAACAGACAGTTGTGTGTGAGCTCAGCTCACCTTGTGTCAAGAACTGTGCACTTCATGCCTTCTCACTACCCTGATCTTCCCCAGTGCCACGGACGACCTCTAGCCCAAGCACAGTCCATAAGTTCAGGCTTAATGTCCTCAGAGAAGCCTCAACCAATAGGGACAAGAACCAGTAGACAGCAACCCAGCCTCCTGTCCTCTGGGCAGCTCATTCTGAGAGACGGTGGGAAGCTTCCCAGGAAGGCCTAGACAAGCTGAGCCCCCACTGTGCCCAGCAACAACAAAGAAAATTCACCCCATGAGTCTAGAGGAAACCAGAACTCCAAGATGTATCAGTTACCAGCCGGAAGTCCATGAGGACCCCATTGCTGAGGGTAAGTAGGTACTGACCAACCCTGCATGCTGTAGCTTCATGATGACAAATAATCTCATGTTTGGCTGGGAAGAGGGACAAGTGGAAAAGGAAGCACTGAAGTGTGTGACATCTCTAGACTTGAGCAGTGTAGGAGCTGTGGTAATTACAAGGACTGTAACGTCGGCTGGCTTTTAACTGCTTTGGAAGCCTAGGAGAAAGGGAATGGCAGTCAGGTAGCCAACTATCAATTTAGGATGCACAGTGACAGGCGAGGAACCTCCAAACACACATGAAAGAGACCCCTCACCTGCTGCAGCATCAGGGCAAACAGCTGAAAATAAGACCCACGGTCTCATTGGAAGGGCAGCAGAGCAGCAGGAAAGATGACTGTGTTCATCCTAACAGGTCTCCAGTGCTAAAGCCAAGGCCCTCACAGAACAGGAGTGGAACCCTGAGGTCCAGGAGGGAACATCTGGATGAACTTGAACATTGAACCCTCTTACCCTCTTCACTATGCCCCTCATCTCCTCTCATTGCTTCTAGCCCAAGGACTGAGGTTAGATGTCAGTGTATCCTGAGAGGAAAAGATGGTCCCTGCTGGTAGTGAAAATACTCACTCTCCAGGACCTAGCTAACATGGATGGGAATAAATCAAGGGAACACGTGTGGGAGTGGACCTTGGGGTGCCAGATCATGGTGCAAACATAAGCTTGAAAGGAGAGTTTCCTGACAAGAAGCACTCTCCTGTTACATGGCATGGACTTCCGGGAAGGATTCCAGGGCCTGTCCTAAGGTGCTTTGGGATAGCTCCAGAAAATGGTCTGCAGTAAGATGGGGATGCTGGGACTTCCTCCATTGAGTTTTGAAGGGTTCTGGGTGGTAAAATATACATAAGATTTACCACTTTATTTTTTATATTGTAGTAAAATATATATAGCATAAAACTGGCCTATTTATTTATTTTCAGTGCTGGGGCTGGAACCCAGGGCCTCACACACACTAGGTTTCTTGGTTACTTTTCTCATTGCTGAGACAAAATACCCCTAGGAAAGGTTTCTTTGGCTTACAGTTCATAGAGGTTTCAGTCTGTAGTTGGCTGGCTCCAAGGAATAGTGGCACATGGCAGAGGGGCTTCACAGGAGAAACAGTTTGTGGAGGACAGAAAGTAGCAAAAGCAACAAGAGACTTTAACAGTGTCTTTCTGCCCCTTTTATCTTATCCAGACTACTCAGGGCAGATAGCACTCATACTCTTAATCCTTTTGCCTTTGAGCCTAGCATTGATTGCTCCATGAATCAATTCCAGTGTCTCACCTTCTAGATCCAGCTACCTCTGAAAAAGCCCCACCTATGACCACATGAGGCTTTGGGGGGACATCTAGACACAAGCCATAACACCAGGCAAGTGAACTATCATTGAGCTCTATCCCCAGCACCTTAACCAATTTTTTTTTTCAGTACTGAGGATCAAACTCAGGAACTTCCACTTGCCAGGCAGGCATGGCTCCACTGAGCTACATCCCCAGCCCTCCTTTTAACCATTTTTTTTTTTTTTGGTACTGGAGATTGAACTCGGGCCCTTCTGCTTTTGAGGCAGGTGCCAGAACCACTGAGCTAAATCCCCGGCCTTAACCGTTTTTAAGTGTGCAATTCAGTAGCATTAAGTACACTCACAATTTTGCACGATCAATGCCAATGTCCACTTCTAGAACATTTCCATCATTCCAAACAGAAACTCTAGAGCTGGGCATGGAGGCACACACCGGTAACCCCAGCACCTGGGAGGCTGAGGTAGGAGTATTGTCACAAGTTTGAGGCCAGCCTGGGCTACAAAGTGAGACCCTGCTCAAAAAACAAACAAAACAAACAAAAAAAGCCAAACGAACAGAAACTCTGTTCCCATTCAACAGTAACTCTCCACTTCCCCATCCCCTTGGATGGCAGAGTTTTGATGAAGAGGTCAGAAGATTCCAGAAGTAGGATGCTAGAATGGAGTTTATTATGTGGGACCAGAGATCCTACCAGCTAAGTGGGTTCCCTATGGAAGCGCAGAAGACACCCCTTTCCTAACGTGGTAAGGTATGCATGGGTCAGGGGGCATCAGGAAGGACACACTAAGAACCAAAGCTGAACTATCACTTGATTTTTTTTTTCCCCTCTAGTACAGGAGATGGAACCCAAAAGTATTCCACTACTGAACTATGTTCCCCATCCCATATATATATACATATATATATGAAATTTAAAAATATATAACATATATATGTGTTTTATATATATATACATATATATATACACATATACATACATATATATATATATATATATATTTTTTTTTTTTTGGAGACAGGATCTAACTAAGTTACTCAAGCTGGCTTAGAACTTGCAAACCTCCTGGATCTGCCTCCCTAGTAGTGGGGGTTACAGGTGTGCACCACCGCACCTGGCTATCATCTCATTTTATTTAGGCTCCTCACACTGGTGGACCTGGAGGCCAAGAATAGGAGAACTATACTGGCAGGGACATTGACTTTGCTTGCCAGGAAGAACTAGGGACTAGAGGGGTTACAGGGATGTCTCTCGGTGCTTCTGCGTGGCAACGAAGAGCTCTGACCCTGAGCCCGGCCGTGGTGTGGTGACAGCCCTTGATGGTGAGAATTTCTGGAGCTGTCAGCAGATGCCTCTGCAGAGAATCCACAAGTGCCTGTGCCCAGTGAGACTGGGCCTCACCGGTAATCTCTCTGGAGCTTTGCTCTTGTGCTCTGAAATTTGCCTCAAAGACCTCAGAGCATTTGGAACACAGAAACCTCCCTACGCTTGGTCCAGGCTAAGCCTGTGGAGATGACAGTTTATCCTTTCTGGCTCTCAAAACCCTGGCCATTGCCAGCATGGAGTGACTTGAATCACCTCTGAGAGCCAGGCCAAGGCTCAGCAGTCCACAGCTGGTCAGGATGCTGGCAGTGTAGACAGCAAGATGTTTAGGGTCCATCAGGACAAGGGCAAGGGGCCGAGGGTGGCCTCCAGGGTGTGTGGTGGGTGTGCATGCTGCAGTGCGAGCCTCTGAGTCCCAGGCTCTGGGAACTCTCCCCTCTGTTCCCTGCCACGTGGCCCAACCTACCATACCTGGGGTTAGGAGGTCCAAAGTGAAGCAACTCCTTGCCTTTACCCTTTGCCTTTGCAGAGATCTCAAGCAAGCAAGCAGCAGCCCCCGCCGCCCAGGCGTCAGAGGCAGAAGCCTGGGGGAAGCAAGTCCCCTCCCAAATGGGCCGCTGGAGCCCAGCCCCTCGCCGCCTCTGCAGGCAGCAGCGGTGGGAGCCGGGACTGAAGAGGTTAATGTGCATCTGCCTCCGAATGTTAATGTGTCTAGGTGATGTCAGTGGGAGCCGGGAAGGAGGGAGTGCGAGAGCACTGGGCTGGGAGGCGGCGGCAGAGGTTGCCAGGCTGCCGAGGAAGACCCCCTCCAGCCTGTGGGGCGTGCTCCAGGACCAAGTGGCCAAGGGCGCTGGTGGCTGCCGCAGCCTGCGTGGGTGGACGGGAGCTCAACTCCGGGGGCGCAGGCGACCCGCTCCAGCTGCATGGACCTGCAAGCCGCGCTGCTGCCCACTGGCCCCAATGCCAGCAACATCTCCGATGGCCCAGACAACCTCACTGCCCCCGGTGAGCTGCAGGGCAGTCTTCCCACCTCTGGGCTGGGGGGTGGGGTGGGATAGGGGAGGTTTCACCCTGAGCCAAACTGCTTGGGAAACTTTATTATAGTTCTTAGGGACAAGATCTGCAGTCTGCTTTGCCTGGAAGGAAGACAGAAGGGGACAGGGGTGGGCAGGGCAGAAGGGGCAGGAGCCCAGCCTAGGACAGAGGCACAATCAGTGGTGGCAGGTGATGGTGGCCAGCAGCAAGCAGGCAGGAGAAGGCTTGCTCATGAGTTTCGAATACATTTTACAGAAAAAAAAAAAAATCCAGACTGGAAAAGCAAACAGGAGAAGCTGGCAGGGAGTAGGTGGGAGATAGCAGGAGGATCTTTCATTCAAGGATACCCTGGGCTCTTTACGCAGGGGTAAAAGTGCGCAGGGGTAAAGGGGCCGGAGACATCTTTACTGCCCCCTGGCAGAGGCTGTGGGAAGCAGAAGACTTTGCAGAGCGTGAGAGGATTAACTTTTCTGGTGAATTAAGCTTTCTGACATTTCCAGATCTGCAATGCCCTGGGATTCTAGCTTTGAAGGAAAAAGGAAGGAAGGAAAAGAGGAATGGTTTGTATGGAGAAAATGGTCAGGCTGCTGGGCGACAGTGCTGAGCTTCGGTCTGTGCTCCCCTTGGAGGGTTTGGGGATACTGAGCAAGGAAATCCCTGACAGGAAGCTGGGGCTGGGAGGGCTGCAAGCCTGACCCGAGAATAGTTGGGAAATGCCGCTACAAGACAGTCCCCCACAGAGATGCCTGGGAATCAGTACATAGCTTCCAGCCAGCAATCAGTGAAATAAAATGATCAGGGCTACAAATGGGAAAGAAAGCATATATACCACGTATATTCCACCACACACACGCACGCACACACGCACACGCACACACACGCACACACTCCCATGTCCTTCTGGCTTTTATGATGAGGTTTCCGAGCCCAGGGACCCACAGTCATTCTCAGCAGATGGCTCTGTGTTTTTTTGTTGTGTTTTTTTTTGTACTGGAAATTGAACTTAGGGCCTTCACATCAAACCACATCCCAGTCCTTTTTATTTTTATTTTGAGATAGGGTCTCCCTAAGTCACTAAGTTGCCCAGGCTGGGTTTGAACTTGCAATTCTCCTGCCTCAGCCTCCTGGAGTACTAGGATTGCAGGCATGAGCTACCCTGCCTGGCTTCAGCTGTTATTCTTAACTCTGAGTCTTTACAGTAAATGCAGGAGGCAAAGAACCAGGGCCTTTAACTAACAGGTGGCTCAGGAGAATCTGGTAGGATTCCCAGGAGAACAGTGGAGGAGGACAAGGGGACAGGATTAGCAACAGTGTGGGGAGGGAGAGAATCCCAGATGAATGGTGAAATTGCAGGGAGGATGAGAGGGAAGGGAGAGTGCCACTGCAGGCTGAGCAGGACAGCAGAATGTCAGCCCCAAGAGCAGAATCCATGTCACACAAGTAACACTTGCTCCTTCTGTCACCAGGGTCTCGCCCAGGCACAGGAAGTGTCTCCTACATCAACATCATCATGCCTTCGGTGTTCGGCACCATCTGCCTCCTGGGCATTGTGGGGAACTCCACAGTCATCTTCGCGGTCGTGAAGAAGTCCAAGCTGCATTGGTGCAGCAATGTCCCCGACATCTTCATCATCAATCTCTCCGTGGTGGACCTGCTCTTCCTCCTGGGCATGCCCTTCATGATCCATCAGCTCATGGGCAATGGGGTCTGGCACTTTGGGGAGACCATGTGCACCCTCATCACAGCCATGGACGCCAACAGTCAGTTCACCAGCACCTACATCCTCACTGCCATGGCCATTGACCGCTACCTGGCCACTGTCCACCCCATCTCTTCCACCAAGTTCCGGAAGCCTTCAGTGGCTACCCTGGTGATCTGCCTCCTGTGGGCCCTCTCCTTCATCAGCATCACCCCAGTATGGCTCTATGCCAGGCTCATCCCCTTCCCGGGGGGCACCGTGGGCTGCGGCATCCGCCTGCCCAACCCGGACACTGACCTCTATTGGTTCACCCTGTACCAGTTTTTCCTGGCCTTTGCCCTGCCCTTTGTGGTGATCACTGCTGCGTATGTGAGGATTCTGCAGCGGATGACAACTTCAGTGGCCCCCGCCTCCCAGCGCAGCATCCGGCTGCGGACAAAGCGGGTGACCCGCACGGCCATTGCCATCTGCTTGGTCTTCTTTGTGTGCTGGGCGCCCTATTACGTGCTGCAACTGACCCAGCTGTCCATCAGCCGCCCGACCCTCACTTTCGTGTACCTATACAATGCGGCCATCAGCTTGGGGTATGCCAACAGCTGCCTCAACCCCTTTGTGTACATTGTGCTCTGCGAGACCTTCCGTAAACGCCTGGTCCTGTCGGTGAAGCCTGCGGCCCAGGGGCAGCTTCGCGCCATCAGCAACGCTCCGACTGCAGATGAGGAGAGGACAGAAAGCAAAGGCACCTGACTCCTCCCATCACCTGGACATCTCCGAGTCAGGTCGCCTCAGCAAGTCATGGGGAGAGATGCTGAGAAAAACCTGGGGCTTCCAGGGGGAAGGCAGGGAGGCTGGGGTGGTAAGGGGTTGTGGCACCTGGCCATTCCACGGGGTCCATGGACAGCTGGGGAGGCTTGGAGCCAAGGTAGGGGGCTTCAGACATCAGAAATCCGCTTAGGGGAGCAGCATGAGGCCTTGGAGGAACAGAAGCTGAGGACAAAGAAAATGTTGGTTTGAAGGTCCTGCTGAGCTCTACTTTTGTTAGCTCCCAAATGTCTTTTTCCTAGGGGAAGAGGTGGGTTTGTCCGGGCCCCTGGGAGGTTGGGAAAGGTGGCATGGCCCGACTGCTCTTTCCGGTCTCTCTTCACTGTGCTAGAAGGCAGCCTTTCTCCCAAGCTGGCAGCTGAGGCCCAGTGAAGCCTGCTGTCTCCTGCCCAGTGTGCTGTGTGGTCCTGTCTGTACGGGCAATGCAGGAGTGTGCTGGGAGGCGGGGCTCTGATCCTACTGGAGTAGAAGGTGACCTGGGGTGGGTGTGAATGAGGGTCTTGAAACTCATATAAATGGGGGAAGGGACTCCTGCAGCCTTGGGGACATTTTCTTCATGGGCCAAATTGGCGCATCAGTGGCTGATACACAGTGGGCATCCACGTGTTCTGCATGTGCAGGGGGTCATTCCAGCACCTAGGGTGTTGACACTATATTTCCTCTGCAGAATCAAAGCAAATAAAAGAAAATCTCCACCCACAGGACTCTGGATGCTCTGTGTAGTTGCTTGGGCTCTGGAATGGGGGTGGGCAGCAGACAAGGGAAAGAGGGGTGCCTTGGTGGTGTGGCATTAAGACTTTGGTTCAGCCTGCATTTTAGGGAGCCTTGAGTAGGGGATCTGTTTTGCTAAACCCGCAGGGAGGATTCTGGCAACACTAATGGAATTACTGTGAATTCATTAGATTGCAGCCCTGTGGCTGGGCTGGCTCCTGGCTTTTGCACAAAAGCCTGGGCTTTAGTTTGTCATGCATCCTGATCCTTCAGATCCTGAGTCCCACCTCCATGCCCCCAGCTGAGTCATCAGTCCCAGGGTGGTTCTTGGGGCAGCCTGAGCCCAGTCTCTGCTGGCTGCAGCTGGGATCTGCCTGGCACCTTGAGCCGATTATAGCTGAAGCCACTGGGAGGCGGCCATGGCTGCTGCTTCTGGGCTGCTTCACCGAGGGGACTGGAGCCAAGTCCCCAGCACGGCACTCAATCACAGATGCTAAGGAAATAGTGGGCAAATTGTCCAGAAGCATCCTTGAAGCAGGCGCAGGAGCCCAGCCCGGTCCTCCTCACGCTGGTCGTTGTTCATGGCAGAGTTGCAGCCGAAGCTCCTTAGAAAACTTCTGGACAGCTCCTTTGGGTCCTAGAGAGCTCTTTTCATCAGATCATTAGTAGTAGTAGTTTCCAGCCCACAGGCCGTCTTCCTTCCTTGCTATGAGTAGGGTCTCTGCCACAGGGAAGCTCTAGTTCAGCCAATAAAAAAGATCCTGAAGGGAGACTTGAGGTAAATCCAAGAAGACCCAAGTCCTAACCACTAGTTTGTTACCCAAGGTTGTCCTGCAGCTAGTCTGGGGAGTGGAAGGTTTCCCCGTGGAGCTATTGCCCCCTGCCCTGCCCCCTCCACCCTTCCACCCCCTAGTCCTGCACACAGGAATTCTGGGGAGGAAAGAGGTGAGGCGGCCTCTCCCAGGGAACAAGTGACCAAGCAACTCCCAAGGTGGCAGCCGAGCATCCTGTGGGGAGGGAGCATCTGGTCCTCAGCTCTCAATTCTATGCTGAAACTTGGGCAGGTTGCCAGTGGGACCAGCTTCCTGATAATATTGGTAGAAATAGGGGACATGGTGCAGGGCTTGTGGGCAAGTCCAAGAATGAGCCTTTTTCCTTCGACCTAGGATGTGTCTTACCAGAACCAGGGCCCCAGTGAGATGCAGAGGGAAGGGCTGAAGCTGTGAAGTCCATGTAGTTGATCTCTTTGCTCCTTTTCTGTATCCAGTGCCTAACAAACTGTCTCCCGCACCCCAACAAATCCCCTCCCCAAACCCAGTGACAGCTTCATGCACTGCTGCCCAATCTTTTCCCCAGGCAATATTTCCTCTCCAACTGTGAAGAAGTGATTGTGAAACTCCTCCACAGTAGAGGAATTCCACAGCAGAGGCTAGGACTGGAGTTGGGCAGCCCAAAGCGCAAATAGATGCCTGAAGCCCTTCTGCGTGTGGAGGTTCACTTGCAAATAGCATCAGCACCTAGGAGAGTGACTGACAATGATTTTTGTTTATTTTCTGGATCATCCATTTTCATAGCAATAGAATTTATATAGTATACAGTTAAGTGGCATTAAGTGCATTCATATTCTTTTTTTTTTTTTTTTTTTTTTTTTTGTTGCCAGGGATTAAACTCGGGTCCTTGCGCTTGCGCAGCAGGTGGTGAAACCACTGAGCTAAATCCCCGGCCCGTGCATTCATATTCTTGAATGTCACAACGTTCATCTTTCCAAACCAAGACTGGGATGAAACGCTAACTCACCAGTTCCCCTCCCCAGGTAACCATCACTCTACTCCATCTCTATGATTCTAACTCCTCTAAGTGCTTTGTATAAGTGGAAACATGCAATAATTGTCTTGTGTTTTTTTTCCTTGGTACCGGGTATCAAACTTGGGTCTTTGCGCTTGCAAGGCAGGTGGTGGAACCACTGAGCTAAATCCCTGGCCCTGTCTTGTTTTCATCATTGTTGAGACAGGAACTATGTATTTCCAGCTGGCCTTGAACTTGCAACGTAGCCCATGCTGTCCTTGTACTCACCATCCTTCTGCCTCAGCCTCTCAAGCACAGGGACTACAGGCTTTCCCCACCCACACCTGGCTAATTGCTTTTTTGTAACTGGCTTATTTTGCTTAGCATAATGTCCTCCAGTTTCATTCATTTGTTGTATGTGTCAGAATTTCCTTCCTTTTGAAGGCAAACTACTATTCTATTGTACTAGTATTCCTTTTGAAGGCTAATATTCTATTGTAAGGCTAATATTCACATTGTGTTTAGCTACAACTATTGAGGGACACAGGGGCTGCTTCCATCTTTGTCTATTGTGGATGAAAACATGGATGTATAAATAATCGTTCAAGTCCCTGCTTTCCATTCCTTTGGGTGTGCAACCAGAAGCAGAATTGTTGGATCATATGGTAAATCTATGTTTAGCATTTTGAGGGCCTGCCAGACTATTTGCCATGGCAGCTTCAGTGTTTTACATTCTCACTAGCAATGTGCAAGGGTTACAATTTCTCCACATCCTCACCAACACTTTCTTTTTCTTTTTAAAAGCCATTCTAATGAGTGGAAAGCAGTCTCACTGAGGTTTTGATTTGCATTTCCTGATGATTACCGATGTGGAGCATCTTTTCATGGGCTTATTGTTCATTTGCATAGAATCTTTCGAGGATGTATATTCAAATCCTTTGGCTATGTTTTAATTGGGCCTTTCTTTTGTTACTGTTAGCAATGATATTTTGCTCAACTCAAATTAACAATAATTGGTTCTGTATGCCTTGTTACTAGGAAAGAAAAACCAACAAAATATAAAAAACTAGGCTCTTTTCCTCTGTGGTGCAAAAAAAATTGCCCTTTTCAAAAATATTGAGCATTTGGATGAAGAACTACACATGCCCTCAACTCTCTTTCTCCTTCCAGGGCTGTGATCAGCAGTTAAGTCCAAGTGATCCAATAGCTTGAGCTCAGGTGGTCCGAAAAACAAGGCAGCTGAGCAATGGCAGGCAGCCTCCCATGAGTACAGTCTCAGGTCTAACTCTCAGAGATCAATGAGAGAAGAGCTTCCCAGTTGGTCAGATATGGTGTTATGGCTTACCCCTAAAACCTCATGCACTCATAGGTGGGGCTTTTAGGAGGTGGCTGGATCATGGGTGTGTAATGCTGGGTTATGGGTGTGGTAACTGGATTAATCCACTGTTTGGTTGAGCATTGTTCTGGTTGTAAATAATGGGAAGGCCCACACTGGGTGTGGGTGGCACCAACTAATGAAATTATAGGCTGGATGGAATAAAAGGGAAAGGGAGGCTTATTGGCTCCTACCAGCCATGCTATGGACTGTTCCTCCTCTGCCATGCCCCTCTCCCATGCTACCTGCCTTGGAGTCAGCTGACTATGGACTGAAACCTCTACAAACTGTGAGCTAAAATAAACTTTCCTCCTTTAACTTGTGGGTACCGGATATTTTGTTCTAGCAATGTGGAAGTAACTAAGACACAAGACACATGGGATGGATACGCTACTTATTTGATTATCTGCAACACTGCCTCCTGGTAGAGGAAGATGAATGCTGGTGAGCATAGACTACACAGAAAGGCAACACCTTTTATGAAAAAAAAAAAAAAAAGCAATTTCTATTTTAATTTTTTTTTTTTTTTTTTGGTGCTGGAGATGGAACCTAGCTCCATGCATGCTGAATATAGTTTGGTGCCCTACCACCAAACTACATCCCTAGCTCTCTATTTTTTGTGGTCATTTTCATGCTAGGCACTGTGCTATGAGGTACACAAGCAAACAAAAACAAACAAAAAACTACAGTGCATGTTTATGTTAAAAAATTTATTACGGGGCCAGGGATTTAGCTCAGTGGCACTGCACCTGCCTTGCAAGCTCAAGGTCCTATGTTTGATCCCTGATACTAAATAAATAAATAAGTTTATTACAGTAAAAGACACATTAATATTAATCCCCCTCAAAAAACTCCCCCTCACTTTGACCACATTTATTCTATAGTTCTTGCCACTTTCTGAAGCAGTTCTGAAAGCCCTCTTTCATGTGTTGGTGGCTCCTTCTGTCCTGATTTGATTCAAAATGTTTATGCCAGTTTCTGTCAAAAACATTATGCTGTGTCCTCATTCATCTTATTCACCAGATCTGGCACTGTGTGACTTCTGGTTCTTTCCCAAAGTCAAAATGACCATGAAAAATAAATGTGAATCAATTCAGGACTTCAAGGCAGCTACAATGGTGTAACTAAAGACATGAAAGAGGATTTCCAGAACTGCTTCACAGAGTGGTATTAAAAATGGAATAAGTGTGTTCAAAGCAAAGAGAAATTTTTTTTTCCTGGTACTGGGGATCGAACTTGGGACCTTGTGCCCACAAAGCAGGTGGCAGAACCACTGAGCTAAATTCCAGGTCCTAGCAAAGAGGAATATTTTGAGAAGTGTGTCTTTTACTGTAATAAATTTTAAAAAATTAAACATCCACCACATTTTTATCACACCTCATAAATACTATATTTTTAGTAATTAATTTAATTCCCCCAATATTTTATGGCAGACAGCCTTTTATGCCCATTCTACAGATGGGTCAGTTATGACTTAGAGAGGTTGACTGACTTGCCCAAGGTCAGTGGTATTCCCAAGGTTCAGTGTGAATCTAGCGTGCTAGATTTTAGGCTCAATGCTGAGCCATCTCCCCTCAGATCATATCCATGTCCTCAAAGGTGGCACAGTCTCACCTGCCTTCCCCAAGTCTCCTCTCCTCACTGGTTATACCTGGCACCTCATACCTGCCTGCTTTCATCCCAGCCTAAAATGGCACTTTTATCTCTCCTTGATAGAGTGCTCATTTGCTTTCTGTCTTAGTCACTTTCTCATCTCTGGGACAGAATATCCAAGATACACAGCTTAAAGGAGGAGAAGTTTATTTGGCTCACAGTTTTTAGAGGATTCAGTCTATAGTTGATTGGCTCCAAGGCAAGAAGGCCATGGTGGGAGAGTCTGGCAAAGGAAAGCTGTTCACCTCATGGTTGCCAGGAAGCAGAGAGAAAGGGAGGAGCCAGGGAGGAGCCAGAGAGGAGGGTAAACCCTTCCAGGCCGTATGCTCAGTAACCTGCCTGTCATCAGGTCCCACCTCCTATCAGCAACCTACCTACAAACTC